CCGGCCCAGCAATGGAGTCACGTCCCCCTCCCGGCCCAGCAATGGAGTCACGTCCCCTCCCCAGCAATGGAGTCACGTCCCCTCCCCGGCCCAGCAATGGAGTCACGTTCTCTCCCCGGCCCAGCAATGGAGTCACGTTCTCTCCCCGGCCCAGCAATGGAGTCACGTTCTCTCCCCGGCCCAGCAATGGAGTCACGTTCTCTCCCCGGCCCAGCAATGGAGTCACGTTCTCTCCCCGGCCCAGCAATGGAGTCACGTTCTCTCCCCGGCCCAGCAATGGAGTCACGTTCTCTCCCCGGCCCAGCAATGGAGTCACGTTCTCTCCCCGGCCCAGCAATGGAGTCACGTTCTCTCCCCGGCCCAGCAATGGAGTCACGTTCTCTCCCCGGCCCAGCAATGGAGTCACGTTCTCTCCCCGGCCCAGCAATGGAGTCACGTTCTCTCCCCGGCCCAGCAATGGAGTCACGTTCCCTCCCGGCCCAGCAATGGAGTCACGTCCCCTCCCCAGCAATGGAGTCACGTCCCCTTCCGGCCCAGCAATGGAGTCACTTCCCCTTCCGGCCCAGCAATGGAGCCACGCCCCCTTCCGGCCCAGCAATGGAGACACGCCCCCTTCCTGCCCAGCAATGGAAACACGCCCCCTTCCTGCCGTTGCAAAATCAAGTTAGTTCATTGAAAAAATAGCAGTGACATCATCACAGTGCTTTACATAGCCAGAGCAGAGCTGTGGGAGCGACCCAACGAACTCCCCCCAGTACAGGCTGCCTGCAGAAAACTACAGGAGGGGGCGGAGACAAGACCAGTCACCCTGCACAAGGAGAGGGCAGCAGTGAGAGGCCTTTATTACAGGAGGGGGCGGAGACAAGACCAGTCACCCTGCACAAGGAGAGGGCAGCAGTGAGCGGTCTTTATTACAGGAAGCTCCTCACACTGGATGACTGCACAGATCTGGAAGAAATACACAAAGCTCACCGAGATTCATGGAAGAATACACCTGGCCCTTGTACTTCGGTAATATGGCCTATCCCAGAGCTTAGCTTTAAATAGTCACTGGGCGGTACATTGCTGGAGGCAGGGCACCGCGAAGGTCTTAGCTTCCTCTAAGGCAGAGCACCACAAAAACCCGACCTTCCTGTAAGTTGACGCGCCACAGAAATCGTAGCTTCCTGCGCGGCACTGCACCGGAGAAACCGGAGCCAGAATATGCACTGACCTGCAGGGGGGACTTGGCGTAGTTGTGGTTGTCCAAGAAAGCGGGGAGCCGGGGGGGTTGGGAAGGGGTCGCACTCCCGTTATGTGGAACGGCATTCAGCTTGCTGTATGTATTAGGGACGGGTCCTCTCTGTGCCGATCCGGCTGCGTCTCCGCTCACATCTACAGGGAAGGGACAAGGACACATGGGTATAGGTGTACCTGGCACATCTGAGGGACGGTGCATCTATCCGGTCATTACCTGAGGCATTACTCTGGGAGCCAACACGGGACGTCTCCTGGTTAGGCGCAGACTTCGCATTAGGCTTGGCGTCCTCGTTACTCTGACTGTCGGTGGACTTCTGGGGCTGAATCAGCTCTGGCTGCGTCACCCGGATCAGCTGCAATGGAGATGGACAAACCTGAAGAGTCTCTTGTATACATTACAGGGGAATGGAAAGGAATTCGGCAGAAAGTGCACGCAGTGATGACAATGGGGAATTCCCGGAGTCTTGGCACCAATCACGCGCCCCAGCGTGAGACTCATTTGTAATACAAATGTTCCCTCCCCCATTAACAGCTAAAATGCCCCCAAATTTGATAGACGAGTCAAAACAGAGAGCAAAAATCATCACATTTCCTTCCCGTGATGATCGCCTCAATGAATGTCGGGAATGTGTTCCTATAATGCTCAACAGCAGCACAGTGACTGATGGAAGCCCTACAGCCTTGGTTCTCAACTGGTGGGTCGTGACCCAAAAGTGGGTCGCAACCCTGTGTTCACTGGGTCCCTGCATGCCTTCCACTTTTCTAGGTGAGAGGCTCCTCAGCCTCCCCTAGCGCAGCACCGTCAGTTCTAGCGCCAAGCAGCCATTCAAAATATGCCGCCCGGTGCCGAGTGTTAGCTTGAGGTGAGGTGAGGTGAGGTGAGGTGGGGTGAGCTGGGGCTATGGCCGTGAGGGAGCTCCATCCATAAGTGCATTGCTTACAGCTCCCTTGCGTATCCTGTAGAGGAGCCTGGACCGGAGTGACGTCACATTCTGGCTCCCGGCACCTCTACAGGGTGTGCAAGGGATCTGTGCAAGTGGATGCAGATATGGATGGAGCTCCGTCATAGCACAGCAGCCCCACACTGGACCCCAGGCAGAGGATCCGCTCCAGTTCTCGTAAGGTAGGGAGTCTTGGTGGATTCAATTTTTTTGGAGTGCGTATGTGTGTGTGTGTGACATTGTGTGCGTCTGTCAGTGTTTTTGAGGGCCCATTCACACTAGCACAGTGCGTTAATCTGTCCTGTGTGAATAACGCACTGTATCACGCAATCGCACCTACCACACGTTCTGGTGGGAGAGCTGCATTGCATTTGCCATTCATTTGAAGGGTTACCCCTAACGCACCTCCCAACCACAGTTCTATCGCCCGCATTGGAACGCGCGGTACCGCAAAGCCATGCAGTGCAACTTGCGGCACGACTTAATGATCAAAGACAAATGTGGGTCCTGAGGTGACACAGGTTGAGGACCACTGCTCTAAAGATTACGGCCGCACACGATGAAGAACAAAGCTGATCAATGGCAGAGAAAGCCAAAGCCGGCGCGAGGCCGCCCCGGCGACAGGATGGACTTCAATCGTTCACACGCATGATAAAAGCGGCCACAAGATAGCTGCTGCAGCTTTTGTGCGTTACAATATGGAGGGAATGGAGAGTGATCGGTCTCAGCAAAGGTCGTGGCTTGCTACGAGTCTGAGAAACAAAAGGTAAGGCAGGAATCCATCTTTATAAAGACCGTCGGACATTATTCTCACACCGGATATTTGTTGCTGCCGATCGCTCAATGTACCTGCTGCAAGGCCTCCAGCACCGTCTGTCTGTTCATCTTCAGGACATTCAGCCGACTCTCGTATTTAAGCCTCCGGTCCGGTACCACGGCCATCAGATTAAATCGAATGTCGTGATACGGTTCCCTGTGGATATGATAAATGATTACACCGGGGGGACATACACTATATTACCAGAAGTATCGGGACGCCTTTACACGCACATGAACTCTAATGGCATCCCAGTCTTAGTCCGTAGGGTTCAGTATTGGGTTGGCTCCGCCCTTTTCTGCTATAACAGCTCCGCCTCTTCTGGGAAGGCGTCCACAAGGTTTAGGAGTGTGTCTATGGGAATGTTGGACCATTTGTGAGGTCAGGTACTGATGTTGGGGGAGGGGCTCGCAGTCTCCGCTCTAATTAATCCCAAAGGTGTATGGGGTTGAGGTCAGGACTCTGTGCGGCCAGTCACGTTTCTCCACCCCAAACTCCCCCATCCATGTCTTTATGGACCTTGCTTTGTGTACTGGTGCGCAGTCATGTTGGAAGAGGAAGGGGCCGTCCCCAAACTCCTCCCACAAAGTTGGGAGCATGAAATTGTCCAAAATGTTTTGGTGTGCTGATGTCTTAAGAGTTCCCTTCACTGGAACTAAGGGGCGGAGCCCAACCCCCGCAAAACCTGTGACCTCCAGGGTCCTTACCCCGCTGTGGCCAGCCCGATGCGCTCCATTATCACCCTCCGTGCTTTGTCCGTCCATTCCTCGTCCTCCGCCCAGGGACCTGAAAAGAGACACACATAAGAAGAGTGGTCATCATCCGGAAAGTAAACCCGACATGAGGAACAATTCCATGTCCAGTCCATGTTAAGAGTGTCCTGCTTATACCTCCTGAGGACTTAATTGGATACATCTCCCTGATATAGCTCCAGGGTCTAATCCCACCCACATGGAAGTGTTGGGACTTCCTGCCCACCCCTGTGTATTGCAGCTTCTTCTTTTACATTCTACGTAATATTTTTTAAAAATCCAGCAGGGATACAAACCCGGGAACTCAGCACAGGGATGGTGGGAGCTCCTCATAATGGGCACAGCGGGTGTACAGACCCGGGAACTCAGCACAGGGATGGTGGGAGCCCCTCATAATGGGCACAGCGGGTGTACAGACCCTGGAACTCAGCACAGGGATGGGGGGAGCCCTCATAATGGGCACAGCGGGTGTACAGACCCTGGAACTCAGCACAGGGATGGTGGGAGCTCCTCATAATGGGCACAGCGGGTGTACAGACCCGGGAACTCAGCACAGGGATGATGGGGGCCCCTCATAATGGGCACAGCGGGTGTACAGACCCTGGAACTCAGCACAGGGATGGTGGGAGCCCCTCATAATGGGCACAGCGGGTGTACAGACCCGGGAACTCAGCACAGGGATGGTGGGAGCTCCTCATAATGGGCACAGCGGGTGTACAGACCCGGGAACTCAGCACTAATCTGTCTATGCTTGGAGTGTCTCACCATGATCGATGGGGTAGACCTTCAGGCCGTCCAGCTCGAACAGCCTTCCTTTAATGGGAACGTAACTGACGAAGTGAAATGCTTCCATGGTGCGAACAGCGCTGATTCCATTCTGCTTCTCAGGAAGGTGACGCGGCTCCGGCCTATAGAAGAGAGCAACAAAGCGTTAACCCGAAGCTTCTTAAACACATAAAAATTATAATATGCAATGCATGTGGGTTAGGCAAGATGGAAACTGCTCATCAGATGTATCTTCATATTATGTGATGTATGATTACAGTTTTCTTGGACTCATTTGTGGTTTGGTGCTCTTCATGCCATCTTTCTCTTTCTGGGTTCTGGGTACCCCAGTTAAGGTGCCCATACACTGGTCCAATTCCGTCCAGTTTTGAATGTACCGTCCGAAATTCGCACAGTGTGTGGGGCTGTCGGCTCCCTTTCAGCCGGCATTCCTCGATCAGCTGATGGAAGGAGCCAGCTGGAAAATTTTCGAGCGATCAGAGCCGGCAGCCAATGGCCTGCCCGCTCTGATCGGGTATTCTGACGGCGGCACCGGCAGAATACAATGTATACAGTGGGATTCCGTGATCGACACGCTGTTTGCGTTGATGGAGGAAGCGGATCAATTTTTTTTCATTCAGCCCGAAGTAAAGAAATTGATAGGTGTATGGCCGGCCTTAGGGTGACCCTGTCTGGCAACAGCCGCCTCACTACGGCCATCGAGCCTTAGAAATGAGTTTGACATGTTGAAATATCACGAGGATGGATGGATGGATGGATGATGGATGATGGATGATAGGTATTTCAGCCTCTTGTCTCTCTCATAACTAGTCTGGAATGATAGATACTGTCGGGGAGTCACTCACCTTGCATGGCTGTTGTGAGCTTTGGCCAGCTCAGGAGCATTTCCGATGGCGTAACCTTTACTCTAAAGAAAGAAAAAAAAGGATTCAGCCATTAAAAGCTACAACCCCTCCCCCCATCATTGCTCTGTGTCCTCAGGAGCACTCCCATCATTCTAGTAACCACCACTACAGCTCTGGAGGGCGGTACCTTCGGGGTGGGAAGGACAGACTGCATATATGTCAGACAGGAGGCGGAGTCACCCTGGAGTTTACCTCCAGCCGTATGCAGATTCATTCAAGCTAGGGCAGTGGTTCTCAACCTGTGGGTCGCCACATGCTTTCTGCTGCGCTAGGTGAGAGGATCCTCAGCCACCTTCTAGAGTAGCAGTGTCAGTTCTCCGGCCGCGCCGCAAGATGGCGCTGCAGCACCTGGCAGCGAGGAGGATCAAAGAGAGGGGAGCGAGAAGGAGTGAGGGGAGTTGAATGCTGGCGTCGCCACCAGAGAGCCCGCAGTGGCCACCGGAGAGCCCCATTGACCGCGAGAGAGCCCCATTGACCGCGAGAGAGCCCCATTGACCGCGAGAGAGCCCCATTGACCGCGAGAGAGCCCCATTGAGCTCACATGAGCCCACACTGGCCACCTGAAGGCCACACAGAGACTAGTATTGGTGCATTCCTAAATTTTACCATTGGGGGTCACCACAACCTGGCAAATGTTACCAAGGGGTCCAGCCCTAGAAAGGTTGAGAACCCCTGAGCTAGGGGCACCTCGTGCAGCAACATCTGAGGTCTTAGCATTTCGTGAACTGGCTTGGATGCCCGGCAATATTTCCTGCTCTCTCCGTATCCTTACCTCGGGGCTGAAGCCTTTGGTGAAGTCCTTGATGCGGCTCAGGGTCGGTCCCAGGTGAACGCCGCTACAGTTTAGTAACACACTCAGGAGGGAGTGAGTGGCGCAGGAATTTGGGATCAGCTGTGAAAAAGAAGAAGATGAGAGATATTAAAAAGGTTAATTCCAGGCAACAAGGGAAATAAAATGACTGCTAATGCATCCGTGTTAAAGTCATAAAGTTCCCTTCATCCATTGGGTTTCAGTTCCGTCAATCATGGAGACTCAGCATCACATGTGGGCGTTATCTATGCAAATACAGCCTGCCTAGGACCACCCACTCCTCCAGACTGACAACCACCCATTAAAGTATTTTGATCTTTGCATAACTCCTCCTATGAGCCCCGCCCACTGCTTGCATCATGGCTGAGGGCTCAAGGCAGAAGTACTGAGGCATTTAAAAGAGAAGACCAGAGACCCAGTGATGACATCATCATAGTAATGTTAGTAGCATGTTGATGAGTGGCGGAGGGGGGAGCAGAGAAGGCAAAATATAAACAGATGAAACTTCAGATTTCAGTGCTGAAGTGCTGTAAAAAAACCAAAAGAAAATATGAAGATGGAGATGGAGATCTCACCTGGTGAGCAAAGAACATGTTGTTGACCACATCCTCCTCCATGACAGACGTGTCGTCCAGGAGGGTGGAGACTTTCCTGCGGGAACGGCGCTCCTCGATCCATTTGAAGAGGAAGATAAAGCCATAGACTGGCCTGAAGGGAACATCGAACCATCAGAGAGAGCCGGGGAGGAGGGG